TCCTTAGCGTCCTCAGTAAACACTGACACCTGCAAAGGCTGCAGAGCAAACTTTGTTAAACACACATTTTGCTTTTGATGGCTCAGACCCAGTGAGAGGCAAAATGCTGTGACGTTTTCAGGCTGTTAGAAATGGAGCAACCAGCACATTCACCACAGACAGTTGATAGAGGATTGAAGACCTGGTCCAAGCTCACTGTGACACAAAAATGACCACTACAACTCTAGACAAATAACATGAAGAGCAACCCAAACTATGCCCAATGCTGCTATGACAGCCATTCCTGTTCCCCTGAAACAGCCAGTGTCAGCTGGCAACATGACCCTATTGTAACTGCTGGACCAGCCCCAATGTCACAACCCCTTAATTTGGGAACTACTGTAGAAGTGGGAAAGGCATGTCACCTTATCAGGCACCTTGTTGACTTTTTTGCTTCTGTTTTCCTTCCTCGGTGTGACAATGAGTGGCATTTACAGCTTGACTTAATTGTCTGCCTGGGAGATATGTGCCTTTTTGGGATGCCCTGGTGTGTCCCACCTGGCCTTCAGCTGCTGCACAGTGGCTCTGGAGATCCTGGGGCACATCTGCCTACCCCATGAGGCTATCACCCCCATGGACTTCTTCTGAGAAGTCAGGATCTCCACAGGGACCACTTCCAGTTTGTGGGGAAACAGGAGTTCTTTCCATAGACCTATCTCCTGAATTAATCACTGTTTAAAAAATAATCCCCCACAACATGAGTTTAATCCCAGGCTTTCCCACAGACATTGCACAAGCTCAGCGAGTCGCTGCCTCACACACACTGCTGTGGAAACAAATTCTGTTGACAAACCAGCTGTGATCAAACACTGTAGGGACAAGGACCCCGTTGTTATTGGGAGAGATGTCCCCTGTTTGTGCCGTGGGTTCCTGGCTCTAGATTTTATTCAAGGTAGGAACATACATAACACATCAAAGTTTCCTGTGGTTTCTGGGAATTTCCTGCTCTTCCCCACCTTCCACAGTAGCCGTTAGAGCAGTAGGTCTGCATCTCCGTGCAGCTTCTCCAAGGGCACTGACGGATGTCCCTAATACCTGCCAGGTCCAGCCCACAGCAAGCATGCTGCCAGCTCACGTAGCAAAACTTTAGAGTTTTCCTCCCTTGTTGTTTAAGTCAAAGCCCACAAACATTTTGCTGTACCTACAAAACATGATTTTACTGCTTTCGGTCCTCAACACCCTCTTTTGTTAGAACAGGTGTGTAACAGCAGTGGAACAAGTTAGTCCACTTGATAAAGTGATCTGCAGATAAGATGTTGAAGGACTTAGATCAGTGCAGGGGGAAATAATGAGCACTACCTGACGAATGGCATCAGGAAATATCTCCTCTTGAAAAGCCTTGTGGGTTTTCTGCAGTGGCATCTCTGGTCAGCCTCACACGTGAAAACTGAGTGCAGGCTCTAGAGGCAGCTTGTTTTCTGGGCAGTAAGAACATGTTCAGCTCATTATAAAAGTTCGTGTGTCTTGGCTTCCCTTTGAGAGGGATCAAAGCAGCCTGGGCTGTAATAGAAAGCAGAGGACATTCAAGATGGATCTAATTAGAAGACTTTCTATTTGAATCACCTGAGAAGGTAAACCATATTATATCTCTGGGTGTCTTCTTTATTTTCTAAAACATATGGGATAGTAACTATTGTGCTGGGTGGATTTTCAAGAGAGGGTGTAATTATTTTGCAACATTTATGAAAAAGAGAAGCTTACAGAAAAAGTAAAAAGGAGGTCAAATAGATAACCTGTGTCCTGGGTTAAAGTGAGACCTTGCTATTTACCTCTAGGAATCTTCTGCACTTTAGAGTTAACTTTAAATATTTTTCAGCCTGAATGTTGTGGAGAAAAAGAGATTTGGTAGCAAACTTGGGCTTCTTTAGCTCTCTGGGACTTTATAAGTCAAAGATACTTATTGCCTCCCAGCAGACAGCGTGTATGAGAAATGATGAATGTGTCCACATAGCTTCGGTTTTACCAACATAAGGTACATAGATATTTGAGAAATTGCTTGCTGAAAAATTTACAACAATTCTTTTTTCAAGGAGATATTAAATGAACAAGAGCAACAGCCACATTACTTGAGAAGGACGTTAATATTTTTCCCATTTGCAATTTGATATTTGGTTGCTAGTATTCTGGCTTTTGAGATACCGGTTTGGGATTTTGGGACTTTTGACTAGCTGTCAAAGCCTGAGTAGCAGCACGGTTCTCATTTGCATGAGTTGTCCTCTATATGGTTTCTTATGTATACAATTAACAGGGCATTTGGTCTCAGCTACATGGTTGCACAAAGGGCGTATTTGAAAATAGAGGCTGACCCACAACATTTGAATATGAACGCAAGTTTGTGAACAGTGCAAAAGCTGCATGCAAAACTGTAGCAGATGCTGTTTAACTTCATCATAAACTTTGTTTAATGACCTTTTTTCCTTTCTATTATCTGTTTTATCGACCCACTACCAATGAAATACAAGTTCTTTGTACAGATTAAGCTGTTGTACCATATGTGGTCATCATATGCTGCATATACAAAACTATCAGAAATCTTTGGTTTGTTAGTATTTCTATTAATAAGTCATGTCACTATCTCAAGGACTCTCGTCATGGCTTATAACTTGGCAATGTGTCCCTCTTGATCCATCTTGATGCCTCTTGGCCTTGGGATCAGCCAGATCCATGGAAGTCTTGAGGTTGTCACAAGTGGATGATGTCTTCAAAACAGTCTCTTGTAGAATGCTGGATATACTGATGGACGTGCCCAGGAAACTGAAGACACACTTCCTTTTTCCTACCTTTTTTTTTTTTTTTTAATTCTGACAGCCATTCATCCATTGGATAAAAAAAGCCTGTAACAGTATTTTTTTAAATGGATTTTGGTGTGGGATGGGAAGATATTCTGAATCAGTGAGCTGTCTTGCTTTCTGGTTATTCCTATATAGGAGCATAAGAGCAACCATCGTGGCTCAGCTCAAATGTCAAGATAGCATATTTTCTGGTTTGTTTTTTTTCCCTCTGTTGCTTCCCTAGAATATCTTAAAATTAATTTTCATTTTTTAATTGCTCCTCAGAGTTCAGTTGACATTTCCTCAGACCCCATTTCTGAGTGTTAATAGTCAATTCAGAGTCCATCACAGAATACATAATGTCAGGATCATTTCTTTCTACCTTACAGTTATCAGTACTGAATTTCTTGACCCAGTCACTCAGTATCCTGAGATCTCTATGCAGATCTTCACAGGCAGACTTTGTGGTTTTTAGTCTCAATCATTTAAAGTTCTCCACAGTGTTGTTTCACTAATCACTGCCTTTTCCACATCACTTGAGAACAGAGGGTAAGACACAGGCGTACACACACCTTCCCGTGGAGCTCTGGTGATGACAATTCTCTATTGGAAAAGCAAATAAATTCTTCCTACTTTTGTTTCCTATCTTTTAACCAGGTCAGTGTTCAGGTGAAGTCTCACTGCAGATGAATCTCTCTAAGAACCACCTTTGATGAGAAGCCCTGACGAATGCCTGCTGGAAACCCACGTCAGCGACATCAAGTACATTGCTTGGCTATAAACTCATTGCTGTCCTCTATCCATTCACAAGGTGAGGCCACAGATCGTGTTCATATTATACTTTTCTGTCATGGGCTCTTTTGAGCAGGAAAGTCACAGTGAAGCGCCCCGTGTATTTGGGAACGCCAGCTATGATATGCAATGTGGTGGCAATAGGCAGCCATTGCCAATGTTCATTATCATCTCAGGAGGTGCTGAGTTTTCTGCTTTCACCTGGTGATTCACAGCCTTTCAAAGCCCGAGTTTGTATGAACAGCCTTTTCAATACAAAAAGATCATAATTTTACAAAAGCTCATTATTTGAATCAAGCTGATGTTATCCACTCAGGTACTGTTCAGTGCTATACTTAAGAGTCTTTTCTCAGTGCTTTCTTTTCTTAAAATGATTTTCACAATCTGCTTGGGTTCTGCCTTTTCCTGTAGCTCTCTACTAGCTGTTCATTCTGGAGCTAGGGAAGTGCTTTGTTAAGAATAATCAGAAAGTGCATATTTATAGCACAATACATATTTTTACGTATTCTTCAGCTCCCTTTCTCTGTTCCCTCTGGTTGCATAAATGTGTCAGCACCTGTTATAAGGGTCCATGCGCATTTTGCCTCTCCCTTTATGTTTCATAATTCAATCTACTGCATGAGTAAATTAGCTTAGGTATTAATGAGCTGGAAAAGGTTGTTTTTTCTGGGTTTTGATTTCAGGTACCACATTATATTCTGGTGTGTCAGTATTCTTGGGTTCTAGGTTATTTACTTGTTAACTTCAGTGCAATTAATGGGGATGTATACTAAAAACTCAAAATTACACGGATTTTTTTCCAGGAGATACCACTCTTCATTGTTTCCCTTGTTAGCCAAGGGGTAACAAACATACAGAAATCTCTCCTGAGCCCATGATGTTACTGCAGCCCTCTCCAGAGTGGGACACGGCCAGTAGCAGAGCTCTCCCTGCTGCAATGGGACAGGCCCTCACTTGCAGCAACATTTCTAACTCTTCCTTCATGTTCTGGTTGTGCCTTTGCCAAGTACCACCGTGAGGAATATTTGAAGATCCAAAGTCAACTTTTCTCATGGCAGACGAATTTCTAGTACCTCTTTTGTCCCTGTCAGGAATCTACTTAGGACTCTGCTTTCTCCAAGCAATTTCTTTCTCCCTCCACTTCTAGTAGGTACAGCCGACATGAAAAAAAGGAGATATGAAGGAAACAGTCTGGTGACAGTGGCAGAGGAATAATTACAGACCTTGTTCCATGCTGTGTCTTGGATGGAGTGAACGGGCAGAGCGTGCTGAAAAAAGTCTGAACATACTGTTTTTGTAGAGTGTGCTGGTATTTCCTACTCTGTGAGTCAGCTGAAAATTCCCCGATCCTTTTGCTTCGTTTTCCTCTCAGGCTGTACAGCAAAGTCACTGGACAAAATGCCATCCCCGATTACTGCAGGTCTCCACTGCCTATTTCTACTGGTCACAGCACGTTGCCAGACATCACAGGACTCAAACTTTGATCCATTCATCCCATATGTAGTGAGTATACTTTCCCAGCCCCATTGGTTTTCATTTGGTCTCTGTAGCACCCCGCTGCTATAGCTCTCCTTTACATTCACAAAACCTTAGAGGAAGTCAGTGTAAGACCAGGTGGGGAAACTGAACCCAGAGTCTCCCCAGTGTGTAAAAGAGGTGGAGAAATCCAGGAACTGGGTTCTTCTTGCTTCCCAGTCTTAAAGCCTCTCCAGAAGGAACTGAGCAAAACTTCTGGTTTCTCACTTATGTTAGTCTGCAGGGGATTTAAATTGCTGTCCTTGGAGCTAAGCCTAAGTAACAGTTACGTCGGCACTGTTCCTGGATTCACCCATCCTCTATGACAGAGAGAAACCACCAAAGTCAACAAAACCAGCTCAGGCACGGAGGTGCTTACAGGGAGGTGACAGGAGACTCACCACTGTCTTGACAGTAGGACATGAGTATGCATGACCAAAATGCCACTCCTGAGTGACTTGTGTTTAGATGTTGTGCTTGGACTCAGACTTTACTTCAGTTTCCCACTTTTTCAATAATTCTCACATACCTCTTTTGCTTCATCAATAGTGCAAATTATGGAAATCTGTTTTGTGCTTCGTCCTGTATGTGGGTTTGGTAACAGACAGTTTCTGCACAAATAGTCCCTAACTAGAAACGACAAAAGAGGAACAGAGGAACAAAGGCACTGACCAAATGGAAGTTAATATAGTCTGGTAAAGAAAACTAGTCTACAAATCTACCAGCTCTTGGTCTATCACAATTATTATTAGAGCAGAAAATACTTCTTTTGTCTTCTACATTATGAACCCTATCAAGCCAGAACAGATTCTAACATCTATAGTCAGTCCCTAGCACCACAGGGACCTTAGCTCTGATGGACTGAGCAGAACACAATGTGCTTTTTTGAGCAGGTTGAAAAAAGGCAAGGAGAGGGGAAGAGGAAGGTGGAAACTCCTTAAGCTGTTTCTGCCACCGTCCCCTGTCTTGGCAAACCAAGTTATAGCTGGTTCCAGCAGCCTTGTCTGCCCTTTGGCAAATGTCTAATAGGGACCAAGTATCTTGTTTGCTCTGTTTTTTCAAACTGTCTCCAGCTCAGCACTTACGCATTTTCATGAAAAGACTAATGCTTGAATTTTTATCACCTTTGATCCATGGCCGATCCTGCAAATGAGTCATCACTTAATGGTGTGAAATATGTGAAGTATTTAATGACACAGCAATACCCTGCAGTTGTTTGGGAGAATAATTAAACAAACCACTGAGAGCAAACCTGGGGGAAGAGGATCACAGTGGGCTTTCCATAACTTTTGCAGCTAACATCGAAGGTGAAAGGTAGTACCCCTAGCAGTGCAAAAATGCCAATGCACCTTGGGATCTTCACTGCCAGCGCAGCTGCGATACTAAGCCCAGCTCTAATCACACACCAGATGGTTCCTTTATGTAAAGAGATGACTTAAGAGTTGCCAAGCTATTCACCCTTTCTGTAAATAAAGATTTCAGTAGGACTCAAGAAACTGGCAAAGCTGCAAATTTCCTGCCTGAGTCTTTGCTTGTTCTTTAGCCTTTCTTGCTAACTGTGGTGCCAATGTATTTTTAGGGCATGACTAAAAAAATAAGATGGTCCCCATCTCACTTGGCTGCACCCTGCATGAACCCAGTCAAACTGAAATTGTGCCACAACTGCCCTGGTCAACTGCGTGCTACTGAAGGCCCACAAAATAGCTGACCTGACACCTGAGCTGGAGCCAAGACATTTTAATCCCCTTTCTACTCCTACTCAGGCTGGTTTTGCTGCTGCAGAGCTGGGAGCTCAAAGCAAAGAGGAAAGCAGAGAGTAATATGAGTCCACTTTCTGTATTCAAAGGCTGAGTGACCAGGTACCCCAGGTAGCTTGCAGGGCTGGACTGAGAGCACTACATCAGCCCCATAGCTGGTTTGCAGCTCAGACACAGAATTTCTGCTAAGCTGAGACAATTGCCTTGGAGAGATATGCAGAGAGACACCTGCAAACTCAGTACATCCCTCAGCTGGTGTTTAACATTTCCCTACTTGGAAGATATAAATATCCTGTTTAAAAAGGACAAGGAGGGTGGGGAAGGGCAAAGATTGGTGGAGGCAAAAGAATTATCTATGCCAGTATTTTCTTCACTAATTCTTTCATGCCAACAACAGAAGCTAAAGCTTCACTTTGTTTTTTCACAGAGTTTCACTCTCTTTTTTCCAGATTGACAGTGTGCTAGGAGAGGAAAGCTTCCATTCAGAGATGCAAAGGCAGAAGCGAAACAGTACGTACCCAAATGTGTGGTAACAGAGCAGGTTTCTAGTAAGCCAAGGGTGAAATCACTACTGGGGACAGCGTCTCTTGAGGTACTGAACTGCGATCATCAAGGAGGAGTAGCTGTTGTGGTTTAACCCTAGCTGGCAACTAAGCACCACCCAGCCACTTGCTCACTCTCCTCCAGTGGGATGGAGGAGACAACTGGAAGGGTAAAAGTGAGAAAACTCATGGGTTATGATAAAGACAGTTTAATTGGTAAAGCAAAATAAGGAATTCATTCACTAATTCCTAGAAGCAGGTAGGTGTTCAGACATTTCCAGGAAAGCAGGGCTCCGTCACATGTAACAGTTACTTGGGAAGACAAACGCCATAATTTTGGATGTCCTCCCCTTCCTTCTTTTTCCCCCAGCTTTTATTGCTGAGCATGATGACATATGGTGTGGACATCACACTCCAGGTCATATCATGCGTTGTCATATTGGTCAGTTGGGGTCAGCTGTCCCAGCTGTGTCCCCTTCCAGCTTCTTGTGCACCCCCAGCCTACTCGCTGGGAGGACAGAGTGGGAAAAAGAGAGTCTTGATGCCGTGTAAGCATTGTTCCACAATAACTAAAATATCGTGTTATCAACACTGTTTTCATTACAAATCCAAAACATAGCCCCATACAAGCTACTGTGCAGAAATTTAACTCTACCCCAGCCAAAACCAGTACAGTAGTAAAGGCACAAATAAAAGAGATGGAAACTTTTGTCTGGTCAGAGATTGTCATAGGATCATAGAATCATAGAATAGTTTGGGTTGGAAGGGACCTTTAAAGGGCATCAAGTCCAAGCCCCCTGCAATGAGTAGGGACATCCTCAACTCCTCAACGTTGCTCAGAGCCCTGTCCAACCTGCCCTTGAATGTTTCCAGGGATGGGGCATCCACAACTTCTCTGGGCAACCTGTTCCAGTGTCTCTCTGTCTCATTTTTGTAAAAAATGGCTTCCTTATGTCCAAGCCAAATCTATCCCCTTTCAGTTTAAAACTGTTGCCCCTTGTCCTGTCACTATAGGCTCTGCTAAAAAAGTCTTTCTTCATCTTTCTTAAAAAGAAGCCCCTTCCAGGTATTGAAAGGCTGCAATAAGGCCTCCCTGGGGCCTTCTCTTCTCCAGGCTGAACAACCCCAACTCTCTCAGCCTTTCCTCATAGCAGAGGTGTTCCCAGCCCTCTGACCATTTTTGTGGCCTCCTCTGGCCCTGCTCCAACAGGTCCATGTCTTTCCTGTGCTGAGGACCCCAGAGCTGGACGCAGCACTCCAGGTGGGGTCTCACCAGAGCGGA